TCTTTCCTCGAACACGTCGAAGGCTAAGGTTAACACGTCCATAAACGAAGGACCTTGACCGAGTAACATTTGGGCTCATTAAAGAGGCTATCTCAAGCAGAAAAAGTGTTTTCCTATGTTTGTCTGTTCATAAACACCCTTTTTGATCTACGCCTAAAAAATTCTTTATGAATATTTTTCAGCAATTTTCATTTGTAAGTCGTCGTTGACTGATTTTCATTAAACTTTTGGCATGTTGAATTTTTAGTATCAAAAATACCGTGCAAACTTCCGAGGTGGGAGTGAACGTAACCCTCCGTTTGATGCAGGTCCCTGAAATTGCGTATTGTGATTGGTCTTCGATGACTATGGCAGGCTTTTTTTGTAGAATTCGAAATAGCCCTGGTATAACTCTGTTTAGAATTCGACAACTTCTGAAGTCAGAAATTCATTCTTTTTCGCATATTTTCAGAATCTCATTCAGAGAAGCTTAACGCGATCTGCCATTTCGACGTCAGAGCGGCTTTCGTCCTGGATGTCGGCTAAGACTTTCTAATTCCATTTATTTTCCCTCCTTTGACAGGCTAATTAATAGTCGTGGTTACGAAATTGCTTACAGCTGCCAGCCTGTGTCAGGCCTGCAACAAAGAGCGAAAGAATTTATACGTCAGTTGTCCTCATTGTTGTGACTGCTGGCAGAACAATTTCTCATTGTTGATCGCCGTAATTCAACATGTGTAAGATACTTGTTGAAGGATCGTCGTTGAAGTTAAATTGTTTTTGAAACACTACGAATTTTTCTCTGCTCGTAGTAATTCATAAGCCATTGCACTTTCCTCAGGTTTATTCCGCGCTAGGTGTGAGTCACTTGTTTTAAACGGCGTTTAGAATAATTGGTTCGAGTGCCATTTGCCATTAGCATGGATGTAGTCTGTTTCCATTATACGTTTCGAAGAAAACCTTCCTTTGCCGTCAGAGAGACGTAGAATGACGCCAGCTGGCAATTGAGCTCAGTAAATAAAACATCCTTTGAGTTGACGAGTTCCAAGTAATCGCATTGTTTCCAATAAAGGCTGAAATATGAAGACACAAAGGGCAGAATGGTTTGCTCCGGAATGTTCCGGCTTGTAGACGGAGAAAATGTATTATTATGAAATTAAAAGAAGCTGGTAGTTGCTGATTGAGGTGGAATTAAGAGTTCATTTGTATTGAAACTCGGGGAAAAGTATTCTGGTTTGAAGTAAACATGTCCGATGACGTGATTTACTGATGCTGCAGTGCAATGTTGCTTTCTACTGTCTGTTTCTCACGAGAAGAGCCCTTGCTCGATTGGTTGCAGTCGAGTACTGCTGGGGATCTACTTGCTTTTTACTTAATACGACAATTTTACGAAGATGAATAATTAGGGCTGATTGTAATTCCCTCATCGTTTTGGAGCAAATTTCGTGCTCGCCGACTCTTGCTTTGTTGGTCGAGGGCAGAGTTATTCTCCCCAGTGCCTCATTAATCCATAAACCATTTTAATAAACTCAGGTACAGGGTGTCTGGTTTCCCACTCGAACACCCGTAAGCAACGTTTCGAAATTTCGATTAATTTGCATTTTGAGATGGGGTGAAATGCCATGAACGGAAATTAAATATAAATATTCATCTTTTGTGTTCGTAATCTGCAAATCAGTGTCAGTAAGACGTGTATTGTAATAGGTCTGTGATTTCGTAGCGAATTTTTTAATGAAAATTGTTCCACCTATAGCCAGGCTTTAGAAGCGACAAGCCGATGTGAGCAAGTTTAAGTCCACTTACGTCATAGCCAGTTTAAATATATTCTATAAGTTGGAAGCTGGTGTTACGTGTACTGACGTTTCATGCTGCCCCCCGAATGAACAGAAAACGTCCGATATGAGACAAATGCAAGATTTATCTGGAACATTTAGATTGTCTAGTGTTGCTGAATAATGTTCACGAAGGATAAGAAATGCATATAATCTTTTATTCGGAATCTGTGAAAAGAAGAGACCCCTTGGAAGACCTGGGCGTAGATGGTAGGTTAATATTAATAGTATGTGAGGACTTGAATGTATTCAACTGCCTCCATCTTCAGAGCGAACATTGTGTATCGTGGTCTTTAATATGCCAGAGCCTGGAAGCTCGTACGTAGCTTTTCGCGATGTTACATTCATCTGTTCTTTGTTTGAGGCTGGCAGATCGCCTTATTTTGTTAAAACTTGTCTTATATATTGGAAAATTTGAGTTTCTGCACTGTGATTGTGCAGAATAGTCGAGGGTACGGGAACTTTCCATACGCGTTGTGGTTAATTTGTTTTGAAGAACAGATGCCAACATTTTAATGGCCTTCGGTTTCTGTATACAGACCACCAACTCGTGTAAAAGTGAACATTGGTAGAAGAAAAAGGAGATACAAAGGCCCTTTCAAAATACATTTTACTCTCGTTTAAAACCAGCGGAGAAGAAAACCGTGTCTAGCTAACGAATCCTTCAGAATTTAAATGTTTGAAGACATCGGGCACAAATTATGATTATTTTCGCCAAGAGCAGATTAAATTAGGAATCCTTTGTGTCTATTAGTATCTTGGGAGGATGGCAAATGATCTTGGGACTGGGTTCATCAGATAAATTTATTGTCTGAGCAACTATCAGCTTCTCCAAAAGGACGTTTTCTCTATTGAGTCGATTGTTTCAAATCCATAACCTAAACCTTTAATAGCATATTTTTAACTTTAACTCTTGATAAACGTATTTCAGATGATTCTCGAATTGAATATCGACGATTTTCCTAAAGAATACTAACCACTTGTCGTCTTTGTGATCGTCGATTTTTT